TTAATCTGTAAACAGGGTCCATGAACAGTAGGTCAGACAAAACCGTGGTACTTAGTAGGCATCTGGCCTCTGACCCCTGGCTTCTAATCAAGTCAGTGGCATTTGGGGGCGCTCACCATTCCCAATGAACCTTCTCCTAGAGAGAAGCCACTCTTCCCTACAGTTGCAATAAGGTCAGGGAAGCTTCACCAGGAGAATGGGCCTCAGTGTCCTGGGGGCAGGGGCCGGCCTCCCTCCTGATGACGAGGGATAGGGCTGGGACAGGCGCACCTTGTCCTGCAAGAACAGCAGCACATTGCGGGGGCCCAGCTCCAGGGCGGGGTCCAAGTAGGTAGAGAGCTGTATGTCGTTGGTGATGTGGCCCTCATGAGCGTCGGCGGCCGGAGTCCACAAGTCCCTGCCGGGGGACAGAAGCGGGTGCTGTCAAGCGGGGGCGCACGGCTGGAGATCGAAGCCCCTGGACTCCAGCTGGATGCCTGGGGCTCGGAGTCCTAACCCGGCCCACTCGCTACGCGCCACCGAACAAGCTACAGTCCCCACTGGGCCTCGCCGCCCTTCGTCGCGGACAGTTCAGGAGTGGGGCGAGGCCGTCTCCGCCGCCGCGGCGCGGGGTGCAGCCCGCCCTGCCCGGCCCGCCCTGCTCACCGGTCGCTCGACCACAGTACCAGCGGCACCTGCTGCTCGGCCGCCGCCGCCGCCGCCGCCGCCACCAGCAACAGAGGCAGCCACTGCATCTGCCAGAGCTCCGGGGCCCGCCGCGTCCCAGCCGGCACCCGAGCCGCCGCAGTCGCCGCCATCATAGCTTCGCTCTCCACAGCCTGGGTCTCCACTGCCGCCGCGGATCAGGTGACCGTCGCCCCCGCCCGAGCTCCGCCCCGCGCCGTCATTGGCCTGGGCTCAGGCCTGCGCTGCAGGATCAACGGTGATTGGGCCAAGTGTATGTCACTCACGGCCGCTCCTTTTTTGCTGATTGGCTGTACGTGTCTCGGGTACGCACTCTCAAGTGGGAAAGGGGGCGGGCCGAGCTCGGCCGGTTCCCACCACCCACCGCCGGCGCGGGGCGGCGCGGGCTCCGCGGTAGCGGCCTCACCCCGCGCGCTGCCCCTCCCTGTTCCACTGTTCTTGCTGCTTAAAGCGGCAGCAGCGCTTCCGCGTCCCCGCGCCTGCACCTCGCTGGACCGCTGCGGGCCGCGGAGGGCCCGGGATGGGAACCGAAGACCGCGAGGCCGGGCCCTGCAGACAGGGGCGGAGCCGCCGAAGGGCGAGGGAAAGCCCGGGAAAAGCGCGCCTCGAGGACGCGGCGACGGCGCTGGCGCTGTCCTCGGCGCCGGGACGCCGCGAGAGGAGCGCGGGAAACTGTCTCTTGCACTTCGCACCCACAGCAGACGTGCCGCCGGCGACGTGGGCTCGGGAAGTGCAGCCTCCAAGGTTGCCGTACGGAGCGGACAGAGACCGTGGCCGCTGCCGCGGGCACCCGGGAGGCCCTGCCTCGAGGGGATGGACGCCCATAAAGACCTTCGTCTTTTTCGGTGCCGTGTCTGAGTTCTCAGACCGCCGATTGTTACAAACAAACAGCAACCAGAAAACATCCCTGAGGGAAAGTTGCGATTGGGTTTACTTAGGAGGAAACGAGCTGATGTCCCAGACTTAGTTTGAAATGCGCCACGCAGCAGCCCTCTCCTGTCTCCCCGCTGCTCCCCTCAGCAGTGTCCCTCGGTCCTTCTGCCTGCTCTGCTCCCCGCTCTGGCTCTGGTGAGTCCTCTCACCCTCCCGCGCATCTGGCCTGTACCCCGGTTCTTGTATACATGAATGAATAAATCAGAAAGAAATAGTAACGTTCAAGGCAAAAGGCAAGGGGTTTTTGCGAGTATGGTCTTACTGGCCATTGTTTTCTTGGGGAGCAGCTTCTGCCCTTGGAGGTGACCCTCACCTGCAGCTGCTTTTACTCACCCCTGAACAGCAGCAGATTCCTGGAGTGGGGGCTCTCAGTGTTTCCTAAGTCAGTCTGACACCCCACTCTACCTCAAGTTTTCTTCTGGTCTGGAGGAGATGGAGGGCAATGGGTCACAATACAAGTTAATGTATGGGGCCTCCCTGGTGGCACAAGGGCTTGAGACGTAACCTATGAAGCTGTCCGCAACCTCTGCAGCAAGAGTTCCATCCCTGCCCAGGGAGCTACTCACATGGCACAGCAGACCTCTCCTGTCTCCCTGCTGCTCCCCTCAGCAGTGCATTTCAGTCAGTCCACCTGTTCTGCTCCCCACTCTGTCTCTGGTGAATCCTCTCACCCCCCACACCTCTGGCCTGTACCCCAGTTCTTGTATGCGTAAATAAACAAATCTTTTTTTTTTAAAAAATAACAAGTTAATGGATGTTCCAAAGGAGGAGATACAGGCTGGCAGAGAGTGCCACCCCCTTGCTGCTTGGACCACAGAGTGACTTTTTTTTTTTAAGATCAAGACTCTTGTGAGACCCTGGAGCAGGAGCAGATGGCGCTTGTTGGTGTAGCTCCTTAAGTGCTTCTACTCCATATGAAGATTTGTAAAGGACAAAGACAAGTAATCTGCACCCACCAGCCCCACATCCAGCACGCAAGAGAACACGCACCCCAGAAGGCACACCCTTCACGAAGACCAGTGAGAGGTGCAGTGCAGATCCTGAAGTCTGCTCTGAATGCTTCCAGCTCCTGGACAAGGACTCAGGCTCACTTCCTGGGAGGCCTCGGACACTTGACTCCATCCGGGGACTTTTGCTTCCCTCTCTGAGTTATCCTTCCAACTCCATCAGCACCGGCTGTGGTGCCAGCTGCTTTTGGCCTATGGCAGCTCAGGGATCTGAAGTCCTCTCTGCATGTTTTAAGGCCTCTGTCCCTTTTTGTCCAAACCAATACAATTTCTTTTTTAACTGGGCAGGTTTCTTGTAAATCAATTTATTTATTTATTTATTTATGTATTTATACAAGCACTGGGTACAGTCAGAAGCGCAGGAGGGTGAGAGAATTCACCAGAGCCAGAGCGGGGAACAGAGCAGGCAGAAGGACCGAAGTCCACTGCTGAGGGGAGCAGCGGGCGTAGCAGGAGAGGTCTGCGCGCCATGTGGGACTCTCGCTGGCGGCCAGGTGCTGTAGAGGCTGCGGGCAGCTTCTCAGCCCAGTGCTCAACTGCTACGCCACCAGGGGAAGCCCTTTATTTATTTTTTATTTATTAACTTATGCATACAAGAAGTGGGGTACAGGCCAGAGGTGTGGGTGGTGAGAGGATTCAGCAGAGACAGAGCGGGCAGCAGAATAGGCAGACTGACTGAAATCCACTGCTGAGGAGAGCAGCAGGGAGACAGGAGAGGTCTGCTGCACCATGTGGGTTGTTCCCTGGCCAGGGATGGAACTCGTGCTGCAGAGGCTGCGGACAGCTTGACAGTCTGCGTCTTAACCCGTTGCGCCACCAGGGAGGGCACCCATTCTCTCTCTATTCTTCGTACGTTGACCGCTTGTGTCTATCTCTAAGCAGTCTCATTCTTGGTCTGCTCGTACTTGAGCTTAATAAGATGGCCTTGCCCTGCCAGAGTCCCCTGCAGAAGACGAGTCACATCACGCCACCCCTGCTTGAGCCGCCTGCCTCTGATGGGCTCATTCTCCCGGCGGAGATGCCGAGAGAGCTTCCTCCATGCCTGTTATTGGCTGGGAGGCCCTGTGCCCTACGCATGCAAGATGCCTCAATGCCATGGCGGACGTCGGCCTCTGCTCGCAATTAGTCTCTCCCCATCCCCTTGAAGAACATTCCTCCTGCTGCATTGCCCGGCTCAAGGACACCCCTTAGAGCTGTGACCCGGGGATATGGAAACATCTTTCAGGACCCCCAAAATCAGTGACCGGGCACTGGGACGTTGCTACTGAACCTCCGCGCCCCACACTGAGCTGGTGAGGAGGTGAAGGGGCAGGAAGGCCCCTGCCTCACGCCTGCATTCTGATCGCCTTTGAATCTTGTCTTTGTTGGCTTGCTTTGTGGGTCCACCTTTTCTTTCCATTTTTATATTATAGCATTGTTTCAAAGAGACTTTTTGAGGTGCACTTTTTCCATTTTATTTATTTTTTAAAATTAAATGAAAGACAACAGGCCCCAGATGGCGTCACTCTGCTAGGCCCACGTCCCCAAAGCGAGACTTAACACCTCGCCCAGCGGCAAGCGCAGCGCCCCCAGAAATGCACCCTGGTCAGCACTGGTGAGGAATCGGCTCACAGGCCCCGCCCACCCAGTCGACAAGGGGCGAAGGTGCGCCCGGCCTCACGATGCTCTCTTTGCTTGTCACAGTCTCCCCATTTGTACAGCCCTGTGGAGCTCGCTAGGGGCAGTGCTGCCCCTTCGTGGCCCTTTGAACAAAGCTAGTTAGATCTTGAAATTTATTCAGTTGCATTTTGTTATTTCATAGTATTTTCCACGTAGTTGCCCCGTTGATTTTGGAAGTCCCCAAAGACTTGAACCTTTTTTCTGCTTGCCAATACACTGCTCCGTGTCCTTACGTGCTTGGCAATCCTTCTGCGGGCTCCTGTTTGATTTTACCCTGTGGACAAACTGGAGGCCCACACTGAACATGTTTCTGTCGAGAATTTACTTTCCCTATGCCAGGAACATCACCACCCTGGACTTCCATGCTCAATCTAGGTGTCCCCTTCCTCACCCCCAATCTCGCCTGCACTGTTCATGGTGCCCTTTGGAGACCGCCTCCCTCCTGGGACCACGCCTGGGTCAGATGGAATCAAAACTTGCTTCCCTCCATCTTGCTAGTTCTGGGCTTTGAAGCAAGTCCGTTAAACCTCGCTCTGCCTCTTGGCAAAAGATTAACCCCTACATTTGCAGGGGTGTTATGGGGACTACGGGCTGTAACTGAAGTCTTAAGTGTGCAGGGAGAGATCGGTGCCCTGACACACCCAGGGCCCCGTGGGTGCGGCCCTCCTGCCCAGCGGGTCTCCTCCACCCCTACAGAAAGGCCAGCGGTAAAACAGAACAACACAGATGCTTTATTGTTTACAAAACAGGGAAACCCAGGTCCAGGAGATGGGAGTGATGCCAGGGAGGTAGAAAGGGTGGAGAAGTTGCTGGGCCCCAGCATGGGGACCAATGGCCAAGGCTTAGGGTCTCGGGCCCTCGCTGCAGGCTCTGTTCAGCTGGGCTTGACTTTTGGCAAAGGTCGGCTTTTCTGCCTGCAGTCCAGGGCCTGGACCCATCCGAGGCTCCCACAAACGTGGCCAGCGTGGGCCGAAGAAAGAAGTGGCTGGCAGCCACCCCTGAGGCGGTGAGCTGCTCCTGGGCAGGTGGGCAGGTGGAAGCCAGACCGAGGGGCTTTGTGGACCCCTGCCCGAAGCTTGACAGGGCTACCCGCCCTCTTTCCTCTCCCTCCCTTCTGACTCCAGCCCCCAGGAGAGAATGGCTGAGGCAGGAAGGAAGGCAGCTGGGCCTAAGTTTCTTCCTCTCTTTCTAGCCAAGTGAGAGAGGAGCCGCTGAGGCCCGTGGGAGAACTGCAGGGGAATGGGGGTGCCCACCGCGAGGAGAGGACACCTGTACAGGCAATCAACGAAATCTTAAACACGAAGTCCAAACTCCAAGCACCAGTCTGCGTGCGGCCCGCTCTGTGCGGGCGAGCGGCTGCTTGGAGCGGGCGCACCTAGCACGGGGGCTGCAGGTGGTTGTGCAGCTGCTCCGCCTGTGTCTTGAGGCGCTGGAACTCCTCCTGGATGAAGTCGGTCAGGGCTTTGCGCATCTCTACCTGAGGGAGGGACTGGGGCTGGCCTGCTGTCCTCAGGGCGCTTCACCCTGGGGTCCTGGGTGGCCCAAGGGGGCTGGGAGGCACAGAGGAGACCCAGGGGCGGGGGGACTCACCGTGGACTTGTTCTCCGCCCGGAGCCGCTCCAGCACTGGCAGGGCACTGAAGGGCTTCCCAATCAGCACGGTGATTTTCTGTGGGAAGGCAGCCGTGGAGGGGACAGGAACGGGGGTGTGCCCACCTCTCTGGCCCGAGCGTGCGGGGGAGCCAGAAACCAAGTCCTTCCCCAGACTTGCTGCAGGCTCCCTCGGGGCCACGCTCCCGCTTTAAAACGAGGTGGTTGGGCTAGCCCATCCTGGGAGCCAAGGTCTAGATGTCCTGTCCTGTCCCAACCTCCAGGCCCACCCCTGCCTGGCCAGATCGCCTTTGTTGTCCTTCTACCCGGTCTCAGGGCCAGGAAGTCCCTCTCTATGTGCCACTTGGTCCCCCTGCTGCAGCCTCAAGCTCGGCTCCTCTGCACGTGGCCTCAGGAGTGCCGAGTAAGACATAGGGCCGGTGGTGGACAGACGGACACACGAGGTTGGCAGCCCCTACGCACCTGGCCGAAGCGGGGGAAGTAGGGCGGGCTGTTAGGCAGGACGTCGTTCATTCCTGCAGCAGCAGACAGAGGGCCGGAGGCAGACGCGGGGTGAAGCCTGGCAGCCCCGCACTCCACAAACCCCCCACCCCCCCAACACCACCAGGAAAGCCCCTCCCTCCTCCCATCCCCAGCCTCAGCCTGGACCGGGACGGGGCTCACCGACATGCCACAGCGGCAGGATTACAGGGTCAAGACGGCACTCGGCGACCAGGCGCCCGATTCCTGCCCCGGGGAGAGGCAGAGCGTTGTCGCCAGCCTGAGCCAGAGCCAGCCCTCGCCGCGGCTCGCCTCGCCTGCCACTACCGCCCCCACGGCCACACTCCAGCCGGGCGCAAGAGGCCAGTCCGGCGCCGGCGGCCAGCCCCGGGTCGGGAGGCAGCGCCCTTACCCCACTTGAAGCGCAGGAACTCCGAGCTCATGTTCACCTTCCCTGTGGCGAGAGGGTGGACGTGAGGCGGCCCTGCCCACACGCTGCAGGGGCTTGGGCCCCGGCACCCAACTGACCTTCTGGGAAGATGTGCACCCAGTCCCCATGGTTGAGCTTCTCCAGGATGAAGTCCATGCCCCTCTGGTAGACGCCGTCCCCTGCCAAGCGAAAGCCTCTCCCTGTCAGGCCCCGTCCGCCCAGGGCGCCCCCTCCGCCCCTCCCTGGGGACCAAGCTGCAGCTTGGGGACACCCTCATTCTGCCCCGCGCCACTCACCCCGAGCCCTCGCCCGCCCGCAGCTCCGAGCTGTCTGCTTGGCCCAGCCCAGGCGGCCCTGGCCTCCTCCCTCCACATGAGCGCCCAGCCAGCAGCGCCCTGGCCATGTCGGGCAGAAACTCGGACCATGGCGATTCCCCCGCTCACCTCTGAGCCCCAGCGTGGTCCCTGGCAGGGCCCTCCCTCCCAGGCAGGCTCTGGGAGCCCTGGCTTTCTCCTGAGGATGAGGTGCCCCCCACCGTCGGAACAAACCTCCACCGTTCTGACTTCCAGCCTCACTCGGCCCCAGACTGCGGGCAGCAGCCCCTCGCCGGGGTCTCCGCAGGTGGGTTCCGCCACCCCTCCAGCCCGCCGGCCCCTCCTCCCAAGACTCTCCCCCAGACCCCCCCAGAGTCTCTCTAGGGAAGCCTTTAGGGAAAGGGAGGATATTCACCAGTTAGACGTGCTTCACCACCGGCAGGCAGGGAGCTGCCCCGCGGCGAGCAGCGCTAGCCTTGGAGGTGCCCTGAGACCATGACACTGGACATGGGCCTGGCGGCCAGCAACATAACACGCGGCCTCATGCCCCTGCCAGCTTCCACCCTGCGGAGCGCTGGAGACAACATGAGCACACAGTTCAGAGTGGACAGCGACCAGAGGGGGCCGGGGAGAGCGCAGGTGCATCGACTCTCCTTGTCTGGGGGACTGGGGAGCAGAGAGCCACGCCACCAAAAGGGAGACAGACACACAGACCCTGGGACTAGGGTGCCCGCGCGTCCATGCTGCACAACGGACTTTGAACCTGTTCTCTGCAAGGCCAATTCTCATTCTGATGCAAATGGGGACCTGGGCCGTGAGCCGGCAGCTTCCTGAGGGGCTGCAGTTGGGGGGCAGTCGCCCCTGCACTCATCCAGAGAGCATGTGCTGGTGGCATCCTGTGGGAGGGCCAGGTGTAGCCGAGGCAGCTGGCTGGAAGTTGGGACCCTTGTGGTCGGCGCAGGAGCCACAGACGTCGCGTGTTTTACCTGTGCAGATGCTCTGTCCACGCCGTCGTGGGGCTGCACCAAAGACACTGATGCGCCGTGCCACGGTACCAGGTCTACCCCCGGGGAGAAGGGAGCTCTTTGGGACGGAAGCAAGGTATGCCGCCCCGCCCACGGCCTTACTGAAGGGGCTTCGGGTTCAGACTCTGCTCTTTTTAATTGTGCAACAGGACTTAGTGCAGATGGAACGGAGTGAGGTAAGTGGGCGGGGCAGGAGGCGCAGCCACACCCCCACACCTGAACTGCCCTCAGCTCCTGTGCTTGGGGGGGGTGTCTGTCCCTGGAGGCATCCAAGGCGCAGAGGGGTCTAGAAGGCAGCCTTCCTGTGCCTGGGCGGCCCTCTACCCTCTGTGCTCTGAGGGGCTGTCCTGGGCCACCTCGCCTCTGCAAGACTCCCTTGTGCCTGTGTCCCCTTGTATCTTTACCCCCCACCATTCTTTTGAGTTCTGGCCTCGTGCCACCCATGCCGGTGGCCTGCCCCCCCCCCCCACCAGAGGCTACAGGCTACTCAGATGAAGCGCCCGCAAAGAGGGGTTCCCACCTCACCTTGCCGCTCCCCTCCCCAAGCCCACACTGCTTTGCACTCATGCGACCCTCCGGGTGGCTCAGCGTCCAGACGTCACCTAGTGTGTCTGTGTCCCCCCTCAGTGTTCTCATTCCCTTGCTCCCCCCACACCCAACCTATCCACACGTCCTCTCAGCTCTGCATCCAATGCCTGGCTCCAAACAGCCCCCTTCTCCGGCTCCCGCCCCAGGGGCCCAGCTGGGCCCCTCTGTTGCTAGAATTACTGCGCCAGCCCCTCCCCGGCTCTGGCCTCCCCACCCTGCTCCACACGCAGCCACACTGCAACCTGGCGGCTCCCCTGGGACCCCAGAGGCAGCACGGTACTGAGCTGCTTGGGGTCTGCAAGAAAGCACACCCCAATCCTTAGTCTGATTATTCCAGAACCTCCCCGTTCAGTCCACAACCTACATTTTCTCTTTCATTTTCTCTCCTACCTCTCTGGTGCCTGGCATGTGCCTCTGTCAAGAGCACCTTTCCCGTCACACGCTGCCTGGCAAAGTCCGCTTCTTCAAAGGAAAGAATCACCTGAATTCAAATCCTGGCTTGGCCACCCCTTGCCCTGTGATCTGAGGCCAGCAGTTTAATTGCTCCTGGCTCTCAAGTCTGCAAAATGGAGATCAAGGCGGCCGCCACCTCCCGAGGCTCCCAGGGAGTGCCGAGTGCTTGCTCCCTGCTATGCCCCTCAGCGCACAAGCCCGTCTGCTCCGCCAAACCCTGCAGCCTCCAGCACGTGCCACTACCACCACAGATGTGCGATGCCACACTAACACCAGCGAGCCTCAACTCCTCCCGGAGAGGGGGCCTGGGGTCACACCTCCCGGGCTTCAGATGCCGGGCCCTTGAGCACTTGCAGAGAACTGAGCACTGCTGCCTCTCCATGCTGCCAAACTCCAGACACCAGCCATCAGCCTCCTGGCCCAAAGGAGGCCAGAGAAGTCCCCAGCAGGCCCTCCCAAGGAGACGCTCACCTCTACACACTGGCACGCACTTGCCCAGGCTGAAGAAGTGCGAGTGCAGCTCCTTGGTGAAGCAGATGTCAGCGGCCGCGGGGGTCCTGGAGTGGGACAGACACCATCACCCCTGCCCCCGGCATGAGGCCTGATACCGCGGACAACGTGGACTGGAGGCAAAGGAGGGCCTGTGGGGCCCCACCCCCTGCCCTGCCTGGACTGCTGGACGCCGCCTCCTGGGCAGAACAGGAGGAGGGCCAATCCCGGCAGAGACGGGTGAGGCCTGCCAGGCCCACTGTGAGGGGCCCATTCTTCCTCACCAACGCATCAACTTCAGGTTCCAGATGTGGCGGAGTTTCAGGATCCCTAGAGAAGGAGACGAAAGGCTTCATGCGCCAACTCACCTGGTCCTTAAGGAGCAGCTCTCCTGTCACCCATCTCAGGGGATGTGGGACAAGGACCCCAGCACTACCATTTCTCCACAGTCTGTCTTCCCGACTCTTGGTTTGCACCCTCCAGTTCTCCCTCCCCTCCCCCCCTCCCCCGATCTCACTCATCATCCCCTCCATCTGGTCTGCCTTCCTCCCCAATATATCCCAATGCTGCCTGTTCTTGGACACTTGTCCCTTGTACAGGCCAGTCCAGGCTGCTGGATGACCTCCTGGACTCCATCCATAGCAGCCGTGGGCCCTTCTACACCCAGCAGCCAGGGCGGATGTTGAAAGACTGTAATGTCACCAGGTGGCTCCCCATGTGTGGTGGCAACCCTGGGCACCCTCCACCCAGTCAAGCAAGTCCCTGTGAGGCCAGCAGTGTGGGAACCTGGGGAGGGAGGGGCTTCCAATGAGGCTGGCTGAAGGATACAAACGCAGGCTGGGCCAACCTGGAAGCAGGACACAGGCCTTCGAGCCCATAGCCCAGAGCTCCCTTGACAGGACACCTGAGGCCCTTGGAATTGTTCCCAAGACTCTGGGAGCTTTGACAGTTTAGAGAGCGGAGGGTCCGACAGAGCTGATGCACCAGAGAAAGAGGCCAGGAAGCTGCCAGGGCTAGCCCCGCAGCCATTTCTTCACTTCCTCATTCCCTTATCCCATTCCCTGAGAGGATTCTGATGGGGCCACAAGCGAAACCTTCACCCCAGGAAAGGACACCCCAGAAATAAGCATGCCAGGACTATGCGAAGAGGCCAGTGAGGAAGGAGCTTGGTCTGCTTTTCTGTGGCCTGCTCCCGGGTTCTCCCGCCTCCCTGTGCCCAGCCTGCCATCTGGGTACCCCAGAGATGAGGGTCGTCCATGCAGGACTGGTGATTGGAGACCGTGATGAGGGGGGTGGTGGGGCCTCGGTTCTCAATGAGCTCGTATAGCACCTCCTTGTTGTGGACCGTGAGCTGGTTCATGTACTCTGGGGGGAAGAGAAAAATGGGGGGGCCTTGGCCTCCTTCTCCCAAGGTCCCAAAGTTACCGCCAGCCCGCTAGGCCCAGCCAACGCCTCAAACCCCAACTCTGGTGGGTGTACATTCTCGTCTCCCACCCTACCCACCCCGCCTCCACTCCAGGCCCACTCACTGGTCCAGAAGCAGCTGTAGGTGCCCACCAGACCCATGACGACGCTGCTGGCCAGGGTCCAGGTGAGCGGCGGCACCGCCGGGAACGGCCACTTCACATGAAGGGGCATCTCCCAGGGCCACCCCCGCCTCCGGGCGGCCTGTGGGGCCGCGCTCGGTCTGTGCCCTCAAGCGCTCGACCGCCGGACAGGGGGCGGGGGAAGCCACAGCTCGGGGCGGCAGTGGACAACCAAGGTCACCTCCCGGGTCAGGTCAGAGCCGGGCCGGGCCGGCCCCGCTCTCTCGCCACAGACGAGACGCCACCGGGGTCACGAGCCGGGGACGGCAAAGAGGGGCAAGAGGGGTCGGCGGAGGCAGCCTCGCGCCCCGCGCACACGCCGGAAAGCGAGCCGGCGCCGGCGACTGTCGCAAACTGCATTCCGGCCGCCGGGCGACGACGGGGCGGGGCCTACAGGCTCGGGGCCCCGCCCCTCCCCTCCCCGGTCCGCGCCTGCGCAGTCCCGAGTTCCCGGCGCCGGGCCTGGGAGCGTCTCCGTGCGTCCGGGGCTAAGCCGCGCCCTTTCCTGCCACCGGTCAAGGTCGGGGCTGACAGAGCGCTCTTGCGGGGGCATCCCCCCCCTTTTTTTATGGAATAAAATTCATCTAACATAGCGTTAACTGTTTGATTGTATTTTATAGCATTTTATGTTATACATGACACTTCGTGTTTGTAGCATACGTTGTAGGTATGTAATGGTAGGTCATTTAACATAATTACATGCAGTTTTACTTAGGCTATTCCATAATTATACCATACGTATGCGTGATGTAACGTCTACTGTGATAGAGCACCAGGGGACGTACAGGACACCTCCTTTATGTCATTTAGTACGTTCACAATGTTGTCAGCCATCAGCTCTAACTCCAAAACATGCTCATCGCCCCACAGAAAAGCCCTGTACCCTCTGCGCAGTCTATTTTTTTTTAAAGATTTATTTATTTATGCATATAAGAGCTGGGGTACAGGCCAGAGATGCGGGGGGGGGGGTGAGAGGACTCACCAGAGACAGAGCGGGGGACAGAACAGGCAGACTGACTGAAATCCACTGCTGAGGGGAGCAGCCTGGAGACAGGAGAGGTCTGCTGCGCTATGTGGGTCAGCTCCCTGGCAAGGGATCGAACTCGTGCTGCAGAGGCTGTGGATTGCTTCATAGTGCGGTGCTTAACCCCTTACGCCACCAGGGAGGCCCTGCGCAGTCTATTTTTAAAGGACAAGTTCATTGCTCCTCACCACCTGCCACCTTATCTCGCCGGTGCTGCCCACCGGCCGTCGCTCCGCTGACTGCAGGACAACCACCCGCTGACCACCGAGGACCAGCCGCCAGCCCACAGCCCCGACCTGGTCCCCCAGTCTCTAGCCCCTTCTTGGCACCAGTAGTAGAGCTCCCCTTGACTTCCACCGCCCTGACCAGTTCCAGTTGCGACTGTCCTCCCCTTGGGGTACCCAGGCGCAGGGGAGGGAGCAGTCATACTGGCACCAAGGCTGAGGACCTGGACAGAAGGCTAGCTGCCAGATTCCCCACTTTGGGTGCGAGCTCCTGCGGCTCCCTACACAACGCCAGGTGGGGCCCAGCACCGGATCCCGGAGCCTGGGAGCCGCAGCATGGCGATGGGGGTGTGGGGGAAGGGGTGGGGGGTGCAGGCGGCGCCAGGTCCCTGTCGCCGCGCGCCCTTGGCACAGGCAACCACTCATTAAAGGGCTGCCGCAGCTCGGCCACTCTGTGACTCACAGCTCTGTCGTGGCCCCCAGCCCCGTCGCCGCCAGTGTGGAGCCCCCTGCGGGCGGAGAAAGGCGGGGTCCTGCCTGGGTGGGCGGGCCGGTCCGGTCGGCAGTTCCCAGGCCCAGTTTATCAAGCCAACTAACAACTGGGTGATGCGGGGTGACCAGTGAACACCTGATCCTCAGAGTGAGCGCGGGGCAGGGGCTGGACAATGCACACAAAGCCGACTGTCCATTAGCACCTAGTGCATCACCAGGTCGACCGTTTTCAAAATCCTCAGGTGCAGTCCACTGGTAGCCAAGCCGGGTCCCGGCAGAGAGGGTGCTGGTGCAGGCAGAGGCCTTTTGCGGCTGCAGCCTGGTCAGGGGAGTGCAGTGCAGGCTGCGGCCAGCCCCAGGGAAGTCTGGGAGCTTCCAAGCAATTCCTGCATGATGACAGCATCGCCAAGCCAAGGGTCTCTGTCAAGATGTGCTGTGGTTCATGGCGTCCAGATGCCATTTGTACACTTTTTTTTTTTTTTTTTAATTTTTTTTTTTTTTATAGAGGCATGTTTTATTTATTTATTTGTTTGTTTGTTTGTTTTTGTTTTGTTTATACAAGCACTGGGTACAGTCAGAAGCGTGGGAGGGTGAGAGAATTCACCAGAGCCAGAGCGGGGAGCAGAGCAGGCAGAAGGACCGAAGGACACTGCTGAGGGGAGCAGCGGGCGGCAGGAGAGGTCTGCGCGCCATGTGGGACCCTCCTCCAGTGGCCGGGGAGCAGCCGGGGATCGAACCGGAGCCGCAGAGGCTGTGGGCAGCTTCGCAACCCATCGCTCAACCGCTGCGCCACCGGGGAGGCCCCATTTGTACACTTTTTAAAGTCTCTGTCCAGGATCCGTGTGTCTGGTTGTTCAGACAAGGTTGGGGTAGTCCCCCGGCTTGTTCCCTGACCACTGGTGGTATCCTTAAGTCCACTGGGGCATTGTCTAATTTTCTTGCCCAAAGTGACTTGTGCTTTGACTTTAGTGACCCCATTTTATATCTGACATAGTTCATTTAAACTTTTTCATGACTTATTAAATAGCGTGAATACTGAAATGTTTGCACAATAAAAATCTCTGCAGCAGGGCCTGCCCTCCCTGAGAAGGGGAGGGACTGAGCTGGGCCCGCCTAAGGTTGGGGTGGGGCCTGGCCGGGTGTGTCCAGAAGCCTGGAGCCTACCTCTTCCTCTTTTCTCAGTCTACTCGCTGCCTGGGCCAGTGCTGCCAGCCCGTGGGGTGTCTGCTTCGCTCCCAGCTGAGCCCAGCGTGGACACAGCCCCTCTGCACAGGTACGGGAGTCTCCTGGGCACACTAGGGGGTTGGGCAGTTAGCCCCAGCCTGGGGAGGAGGTCGAGAGGGAAACCCAGGCCTGGAACCAAGCCTGGTGTTGGCTGCCCAGGCTGGGCTTTGGGTTGAGGCAAGGAACCGTCGCCCCCTGCCACTTGTTACCCTTGGCCCCTTCTGGGGACTGCTGGCCCAGAGCCTCCAAGCCTGTCCAGCGCAATCCAGAAGCACACAGACATCCCCAAATAGGCACCAGGACAGGGGCCAAACTAGCTTGAGTGACAGAACAGGTGGACAGGGAGAAACAGGCATTGAGCCCAGCCCGCAGGGTGAAGGGAATACACAGAGGGGTGAGAAAGAGAGGCGGCTGAGCCTGAGCAAGGCAGAAAGTGAGCCCCAGGGGCAGGTGACACAGTGACAGAGTAGAGAACAGACAGAAGTTGAGGGTCTTACGTTACTAACAAGAGCCACACCAACAGGGAGTGGAGTCAGGAGCTGAGGCCTGAAGGCAAGGCAAGAGGAGCCTAAGACAAAGATAAGCCAAGAGAGAAATTCAGGAGGGGGGCTCCCGTTCATGAGGTGAACAAGGAGGGCAGGTGGCAGCAGGGGCGTGGGAAAGAGGCTCCATCACACTGCAATGGGGTGACTTGTCTGAGATCACTCAAAGGCATGCACCTCAAGCCAAGCAATTGTGCTACTGGGAGTTTGTCTTAAAGATAACATCTCAGAAGTGGGTCAAGAGGCCTGTGAAGATGTTCCTCCTAGGTGCTAATAGTGCTGAAGAGTTGGAATCACTTTAAAGCAGCCACTCTAGGGCCTCCCCAGTAGTGCAGCAGGTTGAGTGCAGTGCTGTGAAGCTGTCCGCAGCCTCTGCAGTGTGGGTTGATTCCCGGCCGGCCAGGGAGATACCCACATGGTGCGGCAGACCTCTCCTGTCTTGCCCACTGCTCCCCTCAGCAGTGTTTTCCGTCGTTCTGCCTGTTCTGTTCCCTGCTCTGTCTCTGGTGAATCCTCTCGCCCTCCCATGCCTCTGGCCTGTACCCCAGTTCTTGTATAAATAAAGAAATAAATCTTAAAAAAAAAAGGCAGCCAATCTAAAGACGGTGCTGGGGTCTGCCCAGAGGAACTGAAAGCAGGAGCCTGAGGACATTTGCACACCTGTGCTCAGAGCATGCTTCACAGTAGCCAAGAGGTGGCAGCTGCCTGGGTGTCCAGTAACTGACCAGGGCCAGACACTCTGCAGTGCGCCCACACAATGGAATGTTATTCAGCCTTGAAAAAGAAGGGTGTGCGAGAGGGTCCTCCCTGGTGGGCAGGGGTTAGTCTCAGCACTGTGAAGCTGTCGCCAGCCACTGCAGCCTGAGTGCGATCCCTGGCCAGGGAGCTACCCACAGGGCGCAGCAGACCTCCCCTGTCTCCCCGCTGCTCCCCTCAGCAGTGGATTTCAGTGGATCCGCCTGTTCTGCTCCCCGCTCTGTCTCTGGTGAATCCTCTCACCCCCCGCACCTCTGGCCTGCAGCCCAGTTCTTGTGTGCATAAATAAATAAAAATAAATCTGGAAAAGACAAAGAAGGGCATGCGAGTCCGAGGCGACACGGAAGGACCTTGGGGGCACGATGCTCCGTGAAATCAGCCAGTCTCAAAGGCAGGTGCTCACCTCACTGGCACCCGCTCCCAGAGCAGCCAGATTCACAGAGACAGAGCAGAATGGGGGTGCTGGAAGGGGGTGCCGGGACAGTGGAGTTGGTGACTCATGGGGACAGAGGCCACTTGGGGGAAGAGGTGGGGGTGCGTGTACCACCATGTGCATGGACTTCATGCCATGTCCTTCTGGAACCAGAACTGAGTCCAGCTGGGACGGCACCCTGGGGCGACCTGGATTCCTGCGGAGGTTCCCAGCACCCTAGACACAGACATGCACCCCCCAGCTGTGCTCCTGCTCCTGCTCCTGGACGCGGGGGCTAAGGCTTTTCGCATCTGTGCCTTCAACACCCAGCGCCTGACACTGGCCAAGGTGGCCAGGGAGCATGTGATGGACACCTTGGTTCGGGTAGGTTCATCGCAGCAGCCAAGCCCAGCACCTCAGGACCACGACCCAAATTCCCCAGCCCTGCCTGACCAGGGGCCTGTCCCAGGAGAGAGAGGGCATGAAGAGATGTGGGTGCAGAGATGTGTAACTTTCCTTCTCCGTCACTGGGGTCAGTCTCCTCCTCTGTGAAGTGGGTGCAGTATAGGTGCGGGTAACACCCAATCTCCTCCCGGGTCCTTCCCAGTCCCCCTGCTCTCTGTGGGCCACAACCTGTGCACCAGGGCACTCTTGGCTATGCCATACCAGTTTTCCAGGGAATGGCCCCTCCCGGGACACCTCACATTGAGCAGCCTATGCTGGTGTCCTGCAGATCGTGGCTCGCTGCGACATCATGGTGCTGCAGGAGGTGGTGGACTCTTCCGACAGCGCCATCCGTCTCCTGGTTCGAGAGCTCAATCGGTGAGGAGGTCTGTGGGCCTGGTAGGGGCCTGTGCAGATCTTGGGGCCTGACCCTGGGTTCTCCTTTTCCGGCAGATCCGATGATTCTGGGCCCTTCAACTACCTGAGCAGCCCACAGCTGGGGCGAAGCACGTACATGGAGAAATATGTGTATGTCTACAGGTGAGCGCAGATGGCGGCCAGGGCAGACCTGGCATGTGACCTGGGGCGAGGCGACCCCCAACGGTCCCCCCCAGGGAGACCCTCCTCATGGCCCCGTCTCCTCCATGCTTTTATTTTGGGAGCTTTCCTGCACCTCAGGACACGCTGTGTGCCTACCGCAGGAGGCCTTTTCCATACCGATGCAGCCCCCTTCCGCTTCCCGAGGCAGCCCCCCTGGGCAGGGTGGGCTAGCCCGCTATGGCAGTGGCTGGCAGCGGCTGCGGTTTCTGAGAAAAGGCCCAATGGGGGTGCACTGTGGGTCTTGGGTGGGCCCGATTTCCAGGAACAGCCCTCAGGCCCTGGGAGGGCAACCTGGAGGGAGTCCTTTGGGGCCTGGGTCGAGAGGGCAAGGGGCGGTCAAGAAGAGAGGCCTGCTTCTTTATGTGGATGAAATTGTACCGTATCTAGAACTCCTGCCCAATGAGCAGGGACAGAAATGCGTCCACTCGAGAATGCTCTAGCTGAGCTCCGGCATCCCGCCCAAGGGAGTGCCTGGGTCTGCCAACCGAAGGGCTTCACCCACGCTGGCCTATTGTACAGCTGTGGGAAGGAGAGACGCTCGGCCCGCCCCCCCCCCCCGCAGCCATGGGTAGCCCCAAAATGCCTGTGCTAGGGCACAGATGCACACAGAAGCTACTACAGTGAAAGGCCAGAAGAGGCAGCTGCACAGAGGCAGAGCGGCTCGGCGCAGCCAGGGGCTGCGGAGGGGAGCGGGAGGCTTCCGTGGTGGGCGCGAGTCTTCTCTGGGGCTGAAAAGAATGAACTCAGGTGGTTGTGGGGATGGCAGCCCAGCTCAGGAGTGTGCTGAGACAGCTCAGCTGTGCAACTTAAACCAGTGCCTGTTCGACTGGAAAACAGTTCCAGAGGAAAAGCTAGACAGGTGGAGCCAGGCCTGCTGCCCTCGGGCTGCTGCTCAGGGTCGGCACTTGCAAACCAAAATCAGGGACATGGGGCCCTGTTCCCGGTCCCCTGGTCACGCAGGTCACACAAGACGAGGGTCCTGGAGCACTACGTGTACAATGACAAGGATGACCTCTTTGCCCGCGAGCCCTTTGTGGCCCAGTTCACTCTGCCCAGCAACGGTAGGAGGGAGGGCTGGCGACGCTGCGGGAGGGATGGGAAGGGGTCTCTGGCTGGCTCTCCCAGGCTGGGCCCCCAGAGGAGACCGGGGCGGGTGAGAGCTAGAGTGGGTGGGAGCCCTCTGTGCCCGGGGGTCTTGCAGTCCTCCCCAGCCTGGCACTGGTCCCGCTGCACACCACCCCAAAGGCTGTGGAGACAGAGCTGAATGCCCTGCACGACGTCTTTCTGGACGTCTCCCGGCGCTGGCAGAGCCAGGTAGGGCTGGGCAGACGGCACATGGAGGAAGAGGAGGGGCCGGACTGGCAACTGGGCCTGATGGCTGCCCCCTCTCCAGGACGTCATCCTGCTCGGGGACTTCAATGCTGACTGTGCTTCGCTGCCCAAAAAGCGCCTGGGCGAGCTGGTGCTGCGGACTCAGGCTGGCTTCCACTGGGCCATCGGAGACGAGGAGGACACCACAGTGCGGGCCAGCACCCGCTGTGCCTACGACCGCATCGTGCTGCACAGCGAGCGCGCCCAGGGCCTGCTGCGGGCCGCTGGTGCCTTCTGCTTCCCCAAGAGCTTCCAGCTCAGTGAAGTGGAGGTAAAGGGCTGAGGCAGAAACAGGGTCCCAGGGAAGGCCCTCGGCCTTGACGCTCATGCTCCATCTCACCACCTGCCTCCAGGCCCTCAACATCAGCGACCACTACCCTGTGGAGGTGGAGCTGGAGCTGAGCAGGGCGGCGCACACGCTTCAGCCCCTCAGCCTGGCCACACTGTTGCTGCCGTCACTGCTGCTGCTGCTCCTGCCTGCCCCGCTGGGCCCGGTAGCCTGATCGCGATGACTACACTACTGCCTTCCGGACTCAAACCTAGCCTTCCCTGGCCATCCTGCCCTGCAGCCCAAGAGACTCCCAAGGGGCTGCGGTTGCAGCGCCTCCCCTCCGCCCCGCCGCCTTTTCTTCGCTTAGGCTTGGGCTGTTCTTTGGTGGGGCCGGACCAGGAATTAGAATGTGGAAGAGGAAGGTAGGGGTGCTGAGGCTGGGCCCTCTTCCCGCAGGTCATGGCAGGCCCCTGGGTTGAGGGACGCGGGGGGCGGGGGAGAGGTGGCAGGTGATCTTGGCTGAAATGCAGGGCTCAGAAAAAGGAATCACAGCGGATTGTTTTTATTCTAACAATAAAGCTACTTGCATACACACAACCAAAACTTGGACTGGAAGGATGTTGTGTGTGCAGAATGCCCAGAGGCCGGCCTGATGGCACACAGGAGTCAGAGGCCTCCACTGAAGACACACATCATACTAGGGCAAGCACTGAAGCTCGCTGTATCCAGGTGAATGTAAACAGCTGCCGAGAGCCCTGGTGCCTGCCTCAAAGTCCAAGTTCACAACCACTACTCCGTGGCCCATCACCTAGTGGCCTCAGCTCTACCTGGCTGGCATGCGCCAGGAGGCTGGCCAGCAAGGGCACAGGTGCTCTGCAGCCTGTGAGTCGGCTGTTATGGGCAGGGCCCTGGCTGCAGAGCCACTGCCGCCCAACTCCACTTTCCACAGAATTCAGTGATAGCTGGTGGGGGACCAGGGCCCTAAAGGTGCATTCATGCCCTAGAGCCATCTGTCCAAGACAAAAACAAAGCTACTTTTAAGCTTCAAAAATGGCTATAGTTGGGGCCTCCCCTGGTGGTGCAGCAGTTGAGCGCTGGGCTGTGAAGCTGCCCGCAGCCTCTGTAGCACCGGTTCCATCCCTGGCTGCTGGTGAGGGTCCCACATGGCACGCAGATCTCTCCTGCCATGCCCGCTGCTCCCCTCAGCAGTGTACTTCATCAGTCTGCCTGTTCTGCTCCCCGCTCTGGCTCTGGTGAACTCTCACCCTCCCGCGCTTCTGACTGTACCCAGTGCTTGTATAAATAAATACTAAATATTTAAAAAAAAAAGGCTATAGTTGAAGGCTACCAGGCAGCATAGCAGGGTCTCCGATTCTTACCACCTGGCTAGCTGGCTCTGGAACCGGGGTGTATTTTTTACCTCCTTCAGTGCCCTATCATAGCTCCTGCAGCCAAGTAGCCCTTGGAAAACCAGAGCACTGAACTGTTGGCACACTTGGATGCCCAGGCCAAAGGTGGCACTTTGCAGCTAACCCCCTGGGCAGGACCCCTTACTCACCCAGAAGGGTGTGTCCCAACAGGCAGTGGGAGTTGCTCCTAGCCCCTTCTGGGTTCTCTTCCCTCATTGGTGCTGCCGGCCTCTTAAGAAAAATGATCCCCCCACTCGCTGCCCAACAAACGCAGATGCAAAGACAAAGGTGGTTAAGAATGCGGTTTTTATTTGTGTCACTAACAAGGGGGCAACTCTTCTGCTCTCATGAGTGCAGGGCCCGCCACTTGTCCAGGGGGCCTCGATTTGGGATGTATTTGACACCACAGCCATCTGGGATGAGCCGTTTTTCAGCTACCATGTCTTCAAACTCATCTGCATTAAACTTGGTAAAGCCCCACTTCTTGGAAATATGGATCTAAAGAAAGAGACAAAGTCAGAGGGCCAGGGAACTGTGCTTAAGAAGGGTAGGACAGGTCACAGATGACTTACTTTCTGGCGGCCAGGGAACTTGAACTTGGCCCTACGCAGAGCCTCGATGACATGCTCCTTGTTCTGCAGCTTGGTGCGGATGGACATGATGACTTGGCCAATGTGGACCCTGGCCACGGTGCCCTGAGGCTTCCCAAAGGCACCCCGCATACCTGTCTGGAGCCTAACATTGGGGACAGCATAAGGTCAGACATAAAGGACCTCTAAAAAGGGCTGTCTCCAAGGTCCCTTAGAGCAACCTATATGATCAACAGGCTGCATACACTACCCAGGAGGCTGCTGTTTGCAGCCACTGCACACCGGGCCCCATGGGAGAAGCACGGTCGGCTTAATTGGCTGCAGGAAACAAACCTTAGATAGAGATGGCAACACCCTAGCAAGGCGCCACGGGGTCATCTCAAAGGGCACCTGTGAGGCAACAGTTATGTGCTTGCTGCCAGACGGCCATCACCTGGCTCAAAGCAGGAATGGCTCCCTTGTAAGCAGCCCCCTAGCAGTCTGAGGGCCAATAGGCCTCTGCTTGCATTCCCACTGCTGATGTGCACAGTGGGTGTCACCACAACCCACTCACCAGCCTGTGGCCTGGTTCTGCTGTGGGGGTTCACGTGCACAGCCACCTCACCTATCGGCCCCAGCACAGGACAGCATCTTGTTGATGCGGATGACATGGAAGGGGTGGAGCCGCACTCGGATGTGGAAGCCATCTTTGCCACAACTTTTCACCATGTACTTGTTGGCACAAATACGGGCAGCCTCCAGGGCTGAAAAGAGGGAGAAACAGCAGAGTGAGAGGAGGTAACACGGGACCCCAGAGCCCTCCACAGCTCTCAGGGGACTTCTAGCCACTGAGCTGTGTACAGCGTGGCTATGGCTGAAGAGCACATAGAAGGGATGAAGTGAGAGAAACAAGCAGTACACCCTCACCTTCGGAGGAGAGCTGCTCATATTCATCTGATACCATGTGGCCACAGAGTGGGAACTCATCCACTTTTGCCTTCTTCCGCCCCAAGTCAAAGATGCGAATCTTGGCATCTGAAAAAGGCTCAGGTTAAGTGTGCCTGGAGTGCTGCACGCACAGGCCAGCACAGCCAAAGCAGCTTGGGAGCTCATGCGCTACTTACCAGGAACCCCGCGGCAGAAACGAGACTTTGGGTAAGGCTTGTTCTTACAATACCGGTAACTGCAGGAGGGAGAAAACCCAGGTTAGAGGGTGGGGGGGAGTCACAAGTCAACTAAACGAGACACTTTGAGTGGCCCCTTAAGGAAAGACCAAAGGAGGGATGAGAAATGATTATCAGTGGTCTATCTTGGAGGTCTCCACCCCTGGAAATCAGCTCGAAAGCAACACGTGGTCAGAAAGACACAATTTAAAAAGTAGAAGAACCTTCTCCTGTTCCCTCGTTGGGATTCAAACTCCTCCAAGGTCAACACTTTGGACAGCCTAGTTCAGGCCACTGGCTGGACTTGTGGCCATGTGCCCTGCAATCGGCCTCCCAGCCACGTGAAGGGCTGCCGGCGCCCCCTGCGGGTCACGCGAGGCTCTGGCGACACTTTTATGGGACTGCAGCGCACGTCGCCCGGAAATAAGAAGATGGCACACAAAGGCCGGGGAGGGAATCAAGCCCGAAAGGTCGCGAATTCCCAGCACAGAGGACCCAATGCAACGCGGGCGCGCTCCCAGCTCGACGCTGGCACAACACAGGCGGCCCGGGGCCAATCCGCCACCCGAACAAAAGGCGGACGGGGGAAGCACCGCGCAGCGGCACCAAGTTGTAAAAGGGAGCGCACTCTGCATGGGGAGATGTAAAACGGCGCGGAGGGGAGCGGGGGGACGTACAGTCTCCAGAACGGGACAATGCGGCCTGCGAGGCCCCACCCGACTTCTCGAAGCGGCCAAACGCACTTCCCTCCCTTTTCCCAGGTGAACTGCATGGATTTGGGACTTACCACCGGGCGGGGCGGCGGCCCATCGCGACACCAGGATCTTGGGGGGCTGCGAGAAAGTAAAGTCAGAACAGAAAACGAGGCCAGACCTCCAACGAAGGGAGAGAAACGACAAACGGCGCGCGCACAAAGCCCGAGACAGCGCTACTCACCGCACCGAAGGCAAAGAGGCGATCCCACGCCCGCGCATGCCTTATATACGCCGACTATCTTCACGCCCTAGAAACCATAGAGTCTCAGGGAGGGCGGGTGGACGCTCTATCACGCCTCGCTACCATAGACGCATTAGCGCTCTGCGCCGACGTCAGGGCGTGGCATGGAGCATGCGCAGTGCAGGGCGGCGGCCGGTTAGCGAATGAGGCCTGGCCACCTAGGCTCTAGGCGCCCGCCCCCCAGGGCCATCTTGGGCGAGAGCGCTCGCCCTCGCTTCCCCTAAACTGTGCCAGACGTGCGTGCCGGGGCTGGGACGAATGAAAATGCCTCCCAGAAGCGCTCACGGGTGGGGGCGGGGTCGTACGTGTCCCCGCGTTGGCGTTCTAGGGCACCAGAACCCAGGGGGCGGTGCCGCGCTGGAGCTTCACGGCCCACGTCCCTTTGTCTGCAGGAAGCCTGAGCGGGGGGGCCGCCCCCAAGACCCCTGGCTCCTGGCCGGAACTGGAGTGCGGGGCCGCCGTCGCAGCGAGCTGAGCACCATCTCCCCGTCTCACAGATCCGGAGCGGGGCCTGTGCCCACCCCGGCCGTCAGCACGACCAGCCAGAGAAAGAACCGGGGGAATCCTCCCCTGAGACCCAGGGCCCGGGAGACCCCGTTGGGGCCACTCCGCCCACCCTGACCCGGCAGAGGAAAGAGCTGATGTCAGCTCCCTGGGACAACTAGGAGGGAGGGAAAAGCTGAACGCTGACCCCGCCTGGATGACAGGGCACTGTCGCTCATCTCTGGCCACGCCCCAGGTCTGCCCTCTGAGAGATGGTTCCCTAGCTCGGACCTCCCCTCCCATACACTCCCAAGATGCCTTCAGCGACAGGGGCAGAGTTAAAGCTGAAGTCATCAGGTTTCAAACTCGGTCAGAGGGTCTCCCACACACTGAAGGAGGACAGCAGGAAGGTAAAAAAGCTCCCCTGGGTGGTTTTTTTTTTTTAAAGATTTATTTAGAACTAGAGTACAGAGCAAGGTGGGGGGGAGTGACAGGCGTCACCAGAGACAGTGGGGAGCAGAGCAGGCAGGTCCACTGAGAGAGACAGCCCAGGGGAGCAGCGGGAAGACAGGAGAGGTCTGCTGCGCCCTGTGGGTAGCTCCCTGGCTGGGGATCGAACTCGTGCCCCACGGCCGTGGCTGCCCGTAGATGGCGTTAAGATAGCACTCACACTTAACTCCTTGCACCGCCAGGGAGGCCCTTCCCAGGGATAATTTTTTTTTTAAGATTGATTTATTTATTTACACAAGCACTGGGTACAGTCAGAAGCGCGGGAGGGTGAGAGAATTCACCAGAGCCAGAGCGGGGAGCAGAGCAGGCAGAAGGACTGAAGTACGCTGCTGAGGGGAGCAGCGGGCGCGGCAGGAGAGGTCTGCGCGCCATGTGGGCCCCTCGCGGGCGGCCGGGGATCGAACCGGCGCTGCAGGGGGTGCGGGCAGCCCCCGCAGTCTAGCGCTGAACCATTGAGCCACCAGGGGAGGCCCCTTCCCAGGGATTTTTGACTAGTGTGTCCCACCCTGAGCAGCTGTTAGCCGCCCTGACCACACGTCACCTGAGCCAATAGCGTCA